TTAGAGGCTAAAAATTATATACAGGTGACTAGAAGATGTCTGTATATCTCTTTTCACTTTGCTTTACTCTTTCAATTTATAGCAACTAAAATTAAAAAAGTATTACAAAATATTAGATTTAAAAAATTCGCAGCAATTGTAACTGATCATGGGTCTAATTTAAGATCTGCATATCAAAATATATATAATGAATATCTATTTATTTTAAATTTAAAATGCATATCATATCAGATTTAGCAAAAATTGATTCTGTTAAAGCAATTATAACTAATTACAATAGTATTTTAGAATTTTTTAATAGATTACATATTGCAAATAGTTGTTATAAAGAACAAATGACGATTATGAATATAAAAGGTAGTAAAAATTATTTTTACTTTAAGAAAATAATTTAGTAAATTTTAGGTTTTTGCTAGATAATAATGTCTGATGAAATTCATATAATCTGGTGATACCAAATACTATATAGCGTGCATCAAAAGACCTCTTTTAGATTATTTTTTACGATTTCAGAGGTCTAGAATATATTGTATCTGGGGTACTAAAAATGGATCATTTGAAAATAATAGCATTTAAAATATAAAGTACTTTGGACTATCATAAAGCACTGCATACAGTATCTGGGGTCTTATTCAAGAAACTCATTTTTAAAATTGAACAGTATTAGATACTATTCACAAACTCAGTGATTTTATTGATAGAGAAGGCAGGTACTTTATATGGTAAGATATTATTTTCAGGGATGCTTTATGCAGTGCTCTATGATAAGTACCAATTAATTGCACTTGGGAATATACTGTGGTACCATATATAGTTCTCTTATGCTGATCATAGTATTTCTCTAATATAAATACTGCTTAAATCAGATATTTTAGTCCACGCTATACAGTAGTTTCATCAATTCATTAATGATAAAACATAAGTTTATTTGTCAATGATAAAATAGTTTCATTAGATATTTTATTATTAGAGTGATTTTTAAGTTTGGATTAATTATCAATACTAATGTCTTTGCATATATAGTACTTATTAAATTTTTATTAAAATTTTTTTTACAGCTTTTAGAAAATCATACTGAAATTATTTCAAATAATAAGGTGTTTGGTTTACTTCAAAATAAAGAGTTTTTTTCAAAGTATCATCAAATAGCATCTATCTTTAAACTAATAAAGGAATTAACAAATATTTTTGAAGCCTATAATGCAAATTTAGCAGAATGTTTTATAGGTTTAACAAGACTTGCAACTAGTATTAATAGAATAAAATCTGAAAATCAGTGGAAAACTTTAATAATCAACAATTTCAATCATCATTCTAAAGAATTTATTAATAATTTCTATATATTAGCCTATTGGCTTCATCTATTATATTATGGTAATAATAATAATCTATACAAAATAAAATCTAGGTTACAAACTACTATAGTGCACTGACTAAAAGACTTGGAGTCTAATACAAAATACCTGTCAAGCAACTTACAAAAGACCCAGATATATTATACAGCAGTGGGTCTGTGTCGCAAGAAAGAGAAATTTCATTTATATATATACTCCACATTCATGATAAGCAGTTTAAAAATTTAAAAAACATATATTTAATTAATAGAGATTTTGTATTTTGTATTAGATATTTTGCAAAGGGGGTATTAAAAAAGAAGGATCTTTTGGTCAGTGCACTATGGTAATAAAATTTGTATAATTGTCAAATTTACTTTTATATAATCTAATCTATATAGCGAATTTAAATTTATAGCTTATATTTTATTCTAAATACTATTTTTTAATATTTAATATTTAATTTATTAATTTATAGGCCATGGATTATAACAAGCTGCATTAAATAAAATATATTAAACTGCATCAACTATTTGATATAATTTTAACTATACAGAAGCATCATGTTTGACTCTTTTATCAAAAATGAGGTTATGGAAGCATAAAAAATCTCTGTATAATCTTAATTATAATCAACTTAAAGAGATACCACTAAAGTGGTCAATGAGTGTGAATGTACATGAAAAAAATGATAAATTACAAGAACTCACTTTATTTTTATTTTTAATTGTTCTATCCTAGGCGGTTTGTGAAAGAAATTTCTCTACACTAAAATGGCTTTTTGGAAATAAGCATACATAATTGAGTTTATTACGAATAAAATCTATAGCAAAAATTAGATTGTTTTATATTTCAAATACAGATAAAGAATTAAGAATCTATAATAAAGATATAAATGATAAAGATCTAAAAGAAATTTTAAATAACTCTGTAATTATGCAGCAAACTGAAGATTCAGAAATCGAAGATGATGATAATAATAACCATTCGTTGACTGATAATTTAAATCTTAGTCAACTCATTGATTTAACTTTACCTGAATTTGTATCAACTAATAATGCTTTATTTGAATCTGCTATTAATAGATTATCTTCTCATGAAAGGACTTATAATTTAAAAAATAAAGATTATGATCTAATTCAGTTAGCATAACAAATGATAAATGAAGAAAGTAATAATTTGTAATTTATTAGATATATCAATATATTTTTTATTTTTTATCAGCTATATGCTTTTTATATTTTTTAAGTATTTAGTATATTTTTGATATGTATATTATTAACATTCAATTATTAAAATTTGTTTTTTTTAAAAAACTATATATATATAATAATACAAATAATTATTGTTAGATTACAGAATTAGTAACTTTAATAGCTTGCATATGTGAGATACGTAATTGATCCATAATTGATCCATGATCGAGGCACTTAATTTAATATAATGCAACTGATATAATTAATTTATAATATCAAAAGAGGTTGTTATTAATGTAATAATAATAAATGTAATATGATTATTAAGAATCTTAATATTAGAATAATAAAGTGATAACAAATACAACATTTAAGCTTATACTCTGTTGAAACTTCTTCGCCTTATAAATAATTGTGCTAGTTTAATGCTATTTTTTATACCATATCTAAGTAAAAATAATTATAACCAGCACATTATTTATTTTTTTTATCTAATAATCAGTATATAGATAAATCTAAATGTTTATAATAAAAAATTGATAATCTTATAATTGTGGTTTTGCAATCATTATAAGTCAAATTGTAATAGTACTTGTGGTGTAGTAATTCTGTGATCACATTTTTTTTAGTTATTAATAGATTTGAACCTTATATAATATATTTAAAAATCAGGCTTTTGTATGTAATGATTTTAATTTGTGCTTATATTTATAATTATTTTCACTTTCCAGACCCTTATTTGCAAATTCCTCTAAAAAATTATTTAAATTAAAGTTAAATTTTTTGTCAAATAGTCTTTTTAAAAATCAAAATCGATATCACCAGTTTCACTAGTTTCACCAGTATCACCAGTATTATTAGTTTCACTAGTTTCACCAGTATTATCAATATCACCAGTATCATCAGTATCACCGATATCATCAATATCACCAGTATCACCAGTATCACCAGTATCACCAGTATCATCAGTATCACCAGTATCACCAGTTTCACAAGTATCACCTAGTTTTACCAGTTTCACCAGTTTCAACAGTATCACCTAGCTTCACAGTTTTATTAAAACTTCTACAGTTTTTTTGAATTCTGCTTACAAAATAATCTATACAATATTTAAATTAAC